CAGAAAATGGAGGAGAATACGCCAACATAACGCCGATTTGAATACTCTGCTTTTCATTTGAAATGTAACGTTTTTTTTAGATAACTTTGTGAAATATGATGTAACGGGAGATAAGGATACCTATGCAATTGCAATTCTTCCTGTAGTCAATCTTACTACCCTTTTTTTCAACTCAACTCAAACCATGACTTTTTATCAAATTCGGTACCTTAGGACTATTTTTATAACGCAGCAAAATTTTAAAATCAATTGATCTCGAAAACGGTTAAGATAGATAGATAGATAGACTTACTTCTGTGTATATAGCCAATACAGAATATATGAAAAAAAAACAGTGAGCTTATAAAAGTAAGCATATGGACACAAAATGTGCTGTGGTCTGTACAAAGATAAATAAATGAAATGTTTACACATGATATACATATTCATTGCTACACACATATACACAAATATATGCTTGGGATTACTATCAGCAATAACCTTGCTTGGGAAAATCACGTGAGATCAATTGCTAAAAGTGCATCCCAAAAACTTGGTTTTCTGTTTCGGGCCAGGAGATATTTCACTTCCAGTTATGATCTATAAGGCACAGATCCGAGCTGTCCGGGAATACTGTTCCCATATTTGGAGTGCAGCACCCAAACATACCTTGAAACTGTTGGATTCTGTCCAAAGAAGAGCAATTCGTCTCGTGGGTGATGCCTCGCTCACAAACTCACTCACTTCTCTGGAACACCGTAGAAAAGTTGCCGATCTGGCTCTATTTTATAGATATTTTCATGGACGATGCTCTTCTGAGATATCAACAATTGTTCCTCCCTTGGCAGTCCCCGCGAGATTAACTCGTCAAGTTGAGGCTTCGCACCTCTTCGTGGTCACTTTGGAGACCTGCAGAACATCTCTTTCCGAAGACTCGTTCATTCAACGAACAGCGAGGCTCTGGAACACATTGCCAAGGGAGGTGTTCTTCGAGGCATATAACTTCCAGAAATTTAAGAAGAACACCAATTCTTACCTTATTTCTCTTGGTTAAGAACATAAAAAAAAATTAGTATGCGTAAAAACCTTGTGAATGAAACAACTGAGCTTTCCATTTGGTACGAATAGGTGTTTCCAAAATATCAAAATTAGTTGAAGCAACAACATAACCTTGCTCACCCCTATCATACAAGTTTTTTTGCTGTAGTTACTATATTTTCATTCATGGCTAAATTTTTTTTCCTCAATGTAAGCAGAGAAAGTATACTTTTCCTGCCTATTAAGTGTCAAAAAGAAGCCACTTTGGAGAAGAATACTATTCTTGTGCTCTCCAAACGTTAAATCATATATTTCGGATTCGATAATACAGGGCGTTGTTTCGATTTTTTTTTATCGCTTGGAGCGCACGAAAGGGAATCCCCATAATGTTCAAAGAACATGGTGCGTTGCTAGGGAGGATAGGGACAGGAGGTAGGTATTGGAATTTTTTTTGAACTTTTGGAGATTATATGTTGTTGGGAATACTTCCACAGGCAATGAATTCCAGAGCCTAGCCGTTCTATGGATGAAGGAGTCCTGATAAAGTGCTGTTCGACATCTTTCGAGGTTGACAACGAAAGGATGTGCTGACTGGGCTTGTCTAGTTCGTCTGATTGGTATTGCTAGTGAAGAGATGATAGCAGAGACTTCCGAAGAACATTTCCCGTGGAAGTATCGATAGAAAAGTGAAAGGTCGCCGACCTTTCTACGGTGTTCCAATGATGTCAAAGAGTGAGTGAGTGTGGCGTCACCCACCAGGCGAATGGCTCTTCTCTGGATGGAATCTAAGAGCATCAGCGTATGTTTTGGTGCTGAACCCCATATGTGGGAACAGTATTCTAGAACAGGCCGTATCTACACAAAACGCAATTTCAAGAATTGGCATTGAAGGCAGTTTGACTAATTTTCGCTTGAAATGGCTCTGATACTGCAAATAGCTGTTGGTAATAAACAGTACCTAATTTTCGTAAATAACCTTTTGTGCTCATCAATTGTGACAACGTGGGCTCTAGAAGACCATTAAATTATTAAAATTGCGTGACAAATTCAGTGCAGACAACAGTATTCGTTGTGGTCCAAGTACGTATTAAGTGGTATGTGTGATGTAACCTGATTACGTCGTGTTCGTTAGAATAATAATTATTTTCGATTTATCTGTCACTTTCCATTGACTTTACCAAGTGTCCCAAACTAGAGTTTTCCTAGGAAAGCAGGAATCTGAGTTATTCCAGTCAAAAGAAATCTTGGAAAAGTTGTGGCGTACAGGATCAGAAGCTCTTTCAAAATAGTAAGTTCAAATTCATAATGCAGTCAAATAAACCACTAGGAATTATCCCTAGCTTTGTTTCAATAACATTTCGTCATTCTTATACACACTGATTTGATTTAACCAGTAACTAATAACCTAGAATTCTGAGGAACGAAAATTTCTATAAATAATAAGTTGGCCAATGTTTGACAGTAGCGAATATAAAAAATGGTCATTTCACTTGATTATTTGGAACCAAACAGGGAACCGAATCTGTGTTCATAGGACCAGAACCATATTTTGGGGTCACCGCAAGTGCGGCGAAAACAACTATCTCGGGCTGGGCGGAGGGAAATACATTCACGTACTGGTCTGAATTAGCAGGATTAACCCATTCGAAGGCATTCCTGCCTAAACCATCGGAAAAAATAACCAGGCAGATCCTAGAATGGAGCAGGGGTAACCTGCGAATTCTGACTGGACTGCTTACGGGACACTGTCGTCTAAGATACCACCTGGGAAGGATGGGTCTGAACCAACAAACGGACTGTCGGTTCTGTTGTGTGGAAGACGAAACGGCTGAACACATATTATGTTCATGCTCTAGCTTAGAAAGACTAAGGTCCGACTGTCAGACACATTTGGCTTTACCAATTTAGAACCTATCGATTTCAGACAAATCTCACCCAATTCAACCATAAACTTTGTAAAAAGATATGGATTGTACGGTGAACTGTAACCTCTAGGGGTGAGCCACAATAGACCCATCTAATCTAATCTACCTGATTATTTGGAATTTTTTCTCTTCGTTTCTATAAAATGAAAATATGAATATTATTTCAATACATTGAGAATTCGCATTCTCTATGTGATGAAAATATCAATTCTTTCTCGGTCCATTCAACAGAAAACAACTATTCTCTTGGCTATATGCCACGGCGAAAAGTGAATTATATCTATTGAACACACACGATAAGAATTTTGAAACAAAATCTTCTGATGTAATTTGCATTCTCGTTCAGATAAAAAAAAGTATATGCTCATAATATCATTCGAATAAAGTCTTGTTTGTGAGAGATATAATTCCCATATCCCTGATACGAATGATTTTCCTGGGAGTTTCAAGCTCATGAAGATCAGAGTTTATACAAGTATACTTCTCCTATACATTGCAATTTTCATTTCAAAACTGGACATATCGGTAAGTTATATTTTTATATCATGATACATCATATTATTCATTCGATTTGAGAGATAATGTCGATTCTCAATTCCAGAGGATTTTTGTTTTAATGCCCTCCTTTTTGATGTTCAACAGATATAATTCAATGTTCAACGTGGCTTATAGCAAGGAAAATAGTTGTTTTCTGTTGAATGAACCGAGAAAGAATTGAAATTTTCATCACATAGAAAATGCCAATTCTCAATGTATTCCTTATGCAGGGTGTTTCAAAAACATTAACTTCCTTGCCAGGGTAGGTAGAACATTGCAAAATAAGTTGGGTTTGCTCAGTAAAAATATGTCGTAATGCCATCCGTTTTCAAGATACAATACTTTTTTACACATTTTTTACGATTATGTTGAAACTACTGGCAACATTGTGATGAAATTTTGTATGGATGTTTCTTGGAATCTGACACATCGCATGCATTCGTATCTATATCTGACTCTTATAGAGGGCGCTAGTTACACGGTTCGTACCGAGTAGTTTTGAACATAACTTTTTTGAGGTTGGAATTTTTGATCCAAATTTGATGTGAACTTAAACATCATTCAGTTCCACACCAAAAAGGTACACTTGGTAAAACTCGATACTGTGTTCCGTTTTCGGAATATTTCGATTTGAAAATGATAAAGTGGTAACTGTTGCTGTTATGAAGCTATGTATTAGAGTGAGTATTATGAAAAATTATCACCTATTTATTGAAAACCGAAAACACCAATACATTTCTGATGCAAAACTCATTGATTTAACAATGAATCACAAGAATAACATCGAAACAGATTTGACTAAGAACATGGATTACACAGTTTTGTTGTATCTTGAGCAGAAAGTCTATGCTACATAGTACATAGGTGAATTCACGTCAAGGGTAGTGAGTCATAATTGAAAATCATTTAAATGACCTAACAGCTGATCCTCAACTGTCCAGAAGAATAATTCATTTAAAAAAAATAATATAGAATCGTGTATTCCTCGAAACGTAGGACATTTTGAACACTTACTCTAACTGATTCAATATTTCGTGTTTCTAGTCAAATATCTCTTAATTTTCTACTCATGATTCTTTGTTCCATCAATAATTTCAGCACAAGAATAATTTTATTGTTTTTGAACCTGAATAAACAGGCAATTGAACTCAATAAAATTCATTTTATACCAGCGTCATTACTACTCCATTATTTTCAAATCCAAATATTCCGAAAACGGAACATAGTATCGAGTTTCACCAAGAGTACCTTTTTGGTGTAAAATTGAATGATGTTCGAGTTCATATCATATTTGGATTGAAAAATCGAACCTCAAAAAAGTTATGTTCAAAATTACTCGGTACGAACCGTGTAACTAGCGCCCTCTATGTGAGTCAGCTATAAAAACATATTCATGCGATGTGTCAGGTTTCAAGAAACATCCATACCGAATTTCATTCTGAATAAAGTGTCAGCTATACGTCACAGCTTCCTCAAAATTTGTGCAACCACTTGAAAACTTCCATTTATTTTCCAGATACCATGACGGAAACCTCAGCATGGGAAAATGATCCCCACGTCCAAAAACCTAACGAAACAGGTCGATCTGCCTTGGAGTACCTCTCCTTGACCACAGACTATCTGAGCTTCTTAGTCATATGCCCAGCAGCCGTTTTAGCTGATGTGCTCATCATATGCGTCGTCCTCAAGTACAAACGGCTGAAAACACGCACCAACATGTATCTACTCAACTTCGCCATATTCCACATCCTGTATATCGTATCTACACCTTTGTTCCACGTGGTACTGGATGTATTCTACGAGGGTGTGCTGGACGTCCATTGGTTCTGCATGTGGACCAGATTAGAGAACTCAGCTATGGCCTTAGCTATCACCTGCATAGCTGGCTTTGGATTAGACGTCTACCTGGAAGCTAGACAGCCTTCATGGTTCCCTAGATACGACCAAAGAATCAACTACGTCTTCGCTTTCTTGTACTTCTTCCACACTCTCTTCTACATTATTTCTAGCTCCATTTGTTTCAACCATGGCTTCAATAGCAACTTCAGCACCTACTTCCTCACTACTGAATATTTGCTCACTGCCATTTTGTTGCTCTACCTGGGTATTAAGAACAAGAGTGGGAGGATGGTTGCTAGCAAGGATTGGGTGCTTAGCACTTCATTGACGATCGTCATTTGCTGGCTGCCGCTTTTCGTTTGCTACAACTTGATTGATGCTTTCCACTCGGTACGGGACGTGGAAATAGTGCTGTGGTACCTAGCGTTTTTGCCGGAGTACTTGGCGTACTCTTGCTCGATGATAACTGTGTGGAGACTTTGGAAGTCCAACCAACAGTTCAAGGTGGCGTTCAGGAAGTTTTTCAGACGGAATGTGCCTTCGGCTGAGTATGAAGAACTTTTTGTGAGTGAAAATACGATAACAAAATGATTGAAGTGTTTGTTTTATTATTAAAATTCGATATGGTCATGCTTGTTGTCTAGAATTTGATATAATCAACAGAATATATAATAAAAATAATGATGATAGTAAAAAATAGGCCGTCTTAACGGTGATCTGGAGAGACAATTGAATTTGAATGTTGTTATTCACTTTCCTAATTCCTCAAGTACAGAAGGCTGAAAGCTCGCACAAATATGTGCCTGCTCTATATCGTATCTACATCTTAGCTCCACGTGGTTCTAGTTGTATTCTACGAGGGTTTCTTGGGCGTTCTTTGGTTCTGCATGTGGACCAGATTGGAGAACTCAGCTATGGCCTTAGCTATCTCCTGCATAGCTGGCTTTGGATTAGATGTTGACCTCGAAGCAATGCAGCCTTCATGGTTCCCAAGATACGACCATATAAAATCAACTACGTCTTCGCCTTCTTGAACTTCTTCCACACTCTCTTCTACATCATTTCTAGCTCTATTTGCTTCAACCATGGCTTCAATAGCAACTTCAGCACCTACTTCCTCACTACTGAATATTTGCTCACTGCCATTTTGTTGCTCTACCTGGGTATTAAGAACAAGAGTGAGAGAATGGTTGCTAGCAAGGATTGGGTGCTTAGCACTTCATTGACGATCGTCATTTGCTGGCTGCCGCTTTTTGTTTGCTACAACTTGATTGATGCTTTCCACTCGGTACGGGACGTGGAAATAGTGTTGTGGTACCTAGCGTTTTTGCCGGAGTACTTGGCGTACTCTTGCTCGATGATAACTGTGTGGAGACTTTGGAAGTCCAACCAACAGTTCAAGGTGGCGTTCAGGAAGTTTTTCAGACGGAATGTGCCTTCCGCTGAGTATGAAGAACTCTTTGTGAGTGAAAATACGATAACAAAATGATTGAAGTGTTTGTTTTATTATTAAAATTCGATATGGTCATGCTTGTTGTCTAGAATTTGATATAATCAACAGAATATATAATAAAAATAATGATGATAGTAAAAAATAGGCCGTCTTAACGGTGATCTGGAGAGACAATTGAATTTGAATGTTGTTATTCACTTTCCTAATTCCTCAAGTACAGAAGGCTGAAAGCTCGCACAAATATGTGCCTGCTCTATATCGTATCTACATCTTAGCTCCACGTGGTTCTAGTTGTATTCTACGAGGGTTTCTTGGGCGTTCTTTGGTTCTGCATGTGGACCAGATTGGAGAACTCAGCTATGGCCTTAGCTATCTCCTGCATAGCTGGCTTTGGATTAGATGTTGACCTCGAAGCAATGCAGCCTTCATGGTTCCCAAGATACGACCATATAAAATCAACTACGTCTTCGCCTTCTTGAACTTCTTCCACACACTCTTCTACGTCAGTTCTAGTTCCATTTGCTTCAACCATGGCTTCAACAGCAACTTCAGCACCTATTTCCTCACTACTGAATATTTGCTCACTGCCATTTTGTTGCTCTACCTGGGTATTAAGAACAAGAGTGAGAGGATGGTTGCTAGCAAGGATTGGGTGCTTAGCACTTCATTGACGATCGTCATTTGCTGGCTACCGCTTTTCGTTTGCTACAACTTGATTGATGCTTTCCACTCGGTACGGGACGTGGAAATAGTGCTGTGGTACCTAGCGTTTTTGCCGGAGTACTTGGCGTACTCTTGCTCGATGATAACTGTGTGGAGACTTTGGAAGTCCAATCAACAGTTCAAGGTGGCGTTCAGGAAGTTTTTCAGACGGAATGTGCCTTCCGCTGAGTATGAAGAACTTTTTATGAGTGAAAATACGATAGCGAAATGATTGAAGTGTAAAATTCGACATGGCCATTCTTGATTAGTTGATTGTGAATTTATTCATCTAAAGGTCTAGATTTTGATGATGGATGATGATGATAACTGTGAGGAAACTTTCTGAGTGAAAATACGATAGCAAAATGATTGTTTCAATATACTGTTTGTTTAATTATTGAAATTTGCCATGGCCATGCTTGATTGTTCATTTATACTTCTAGAAATCTAGAATTTGATATAGCTATGGATTAAGGGACTGCCAAAGCCTATAAGAACTAAACTAAGAGTACTAGATATCACAAAATATATCATGACATTGGTAAATTTGGTCAATCTGAAAAGACTTTCTGGAATTGAAGATTGTTATTCACTTTCCTATAATTTGAAAATAAAAACGAAATTACTGGTGATACTGAATTTGTTGATTCGGTTTTCACATAATATATCATCCGTAGGCAATACCATTTTAATGATTTTGTTGAAAAACAAAAATGATTTTGATAAAGCCGTAGCCTAATCTGAGAGTATGCAGTTTCTGAAGTAAGTGGAAGAAATATTTTCAGAAACTCATTATCAGATAGGATCTTGCAGATATTATTCGTTTGTATATTTGGACAACAGACAAATGATGCGAATAGATATTATGATCAATTCTACTAGTTCAACCAAAATTTGAACTTTTATATGCATGTGATAAGATAAGAAATGATGGGATTACATTTCTTGTTGTTCACTATGTTAGTATTTTTCCTAGTATGAGCCAATAAAGATGACAACTCATTCTCTCTAACACCCTATATAATTCCCTCGCCACTTGAAACACAGTTCGTAGAGCTTACTAAGAATACCCCACTCAATACTATAATATCATCTTCCTCATTTCTCAATTCATGGAAATCCCAAACAAACAGAGTTTGATCGATTTTTGAACGATTTTCCAGAAAAGGTCATGGCAATGATTGCAATTCCAGGTAATTTATTCTCATTGCCGGTGATCACCGATAATAAGAATTATAATCATCGTCATGGCCTACCCAGGAAATTCATTCAAAATCTGTAAGATTTGAAAGCCCATATTTCGAGAAATATAAAAGGGTAGTATATTGGATAGGGAGCTCATTTTAAAATTCTACACTTTTTGCTGCTTTCTGTATATTTCTCCAAATAGGGAAATGTATCTGTCCACTTGGGAAGATGAAAAATACCGTGAGAAGATGTCAGATCGAAAGCCCATATTTTAAGAAATATAGAAGGTAGGTATATTGAGTATGGTGTTCAATTTGAAATCACTACATTTATTTTTTCTGCTTCCTGTATATTTTTTGAGACAGAGAAAATGTATCTGTTGATTCGAGAATAAAACAAATATCCCTGAGAACCTGTTTTTAGTTATGAAACCTCGCATACCATTGGTGAAAAAGTAATGGAAAAAAACAAACAAAATTAAACTGACTCTTCTGTATTACAGCGATATTTTGTGTTCAATACTAAAGTTTATCAGACTTATTCTACCAATACAGAAGCCGAAATGATCTACAAAGTGACCAACCAACCTCGCGTTTCAGCAATACAATTTTATACATTCAAATCGTCAATTATGTTGACAATGTCATTTGCGAAATTAATAGTTATTTAACCAACTAGTGTAATAATGAGGGCGATTTATGATCAAGATATTTTAACGTGCGAGCGAAGCGAGCGCGTTAATGTTCGAGATCATTAATCGCCTTTTAATATACAAGTTGGTTACAAAATTTTTCCGTCGACTATATTTCTCATTTCTCCTGCAATGAAGAAAACTTGGTTCGCGAATTCATCATTCATCCGCGGAACCTGCTAAGAATCACCTAGTAGCCTTTTTACTGACATTAGTGACATTTGACATTTGTCGAAATGATCAACATAGAAAATAAATTCCTTGTGTTAGAAAACAGGGATAAAAATCGTGTCAGAAACTTGGAAAGGCGAACCCATTAACGGAAAATCATCGATGAAAGCCATATTTTCGATTTAAATGCAGATTCTGTAAGTTATAGCATAAACAATGGATGCACGCGGTGTATGTTTGGTTGCCTATAAAACAATCGTGTGCATTAATAGACACATCGTTCATTAATAGGGGTCATTAATGAACGATTTCATATACATTAAAGTTAGTCGTTAATACGAGGTCGACGGAAAAATAGTATTACTTGTGGTATCACATATGAAAAAATTCATCGTTTCAAGGGATGTTCAGTGGTTATTAGCCCCTGATGATCCCTTCTAATGAGTACGCCAGTGGGTTGTAATCAAAGAAAGATTAAAGGTTGACGTCGAATAAATGAGATAGGGTCTTCTCGCAAATTGAGCGACCTGACTTTGTTTTGGTAAACAGTTCGTTTTAATGATACCATTAGACATTATCGCCGAGTATTTATAATCGAATCCTATACAGATAAGAAGTAAATTATACAGCTTCACGCTACTCATTCCAGTTTCAGTAGAGTTCAAATCTGATTGTGTCAAACTCAAAGTTCTCTTCAACTAACGATCTGGGTACAACTTGTGTTCTGCGGCGTGTATTGTATTTTGGATAACTACATATTCCAGGCCGTGGAGATAGACACTGAGGTAAGATTTCATTCAATTGTAATTAAATACAGACAATTTTAATTAGAAGCATATATTGCCTCATTAATTGAACATTTTGTCGAATAGTATAGCATTCATTGACTATTCCACCCATCACATAATATGCCCAGCGAGCACAAAAACATCTCAGAGATGTTGAAAGTACGAGATTTCGAGACTTTGAACCTCCACTGCGATGTTCTGTTCACACATGAATAGAACTATTATAGAATAGCCAATGTCCGCTGCAGGCGGCAATTATCGAGATGTCCTTGATATGTCACAAAACTACCTTCTCCCTAGTTCTTTTTAAAGCCTTTTCATGGACACAACAGAACATTTTCAACGCGTCTTGCGCAGATTAAGTCGCTGTAAAAAAAAACATTTTCGAGGTACTTTTCTGAAGCCTTATGTCAAAATGAACTTTCGCATTAGGATTCCATTTCCCTTGAATGAAAAAATGCATTAAAAATGGATTGAACATAAAAATATTTTCTTGATATAAAATTACCTTCTTAATCGGTTTCTGAGTAGAAAAAAAAAAGTAGTGCTTACTATACACACAGACATATAATTGGAAATAGGTTTCCCAATTTTTGAAATGTTCTCCACAATGCATAATTTTGCAACTGCGGAGAAGCTGTGTATTGATGAATTCTTACTTTTATATATTGATTACACTGAGGCACCGAGCAACACATCTTGCATCTGATGGTCATTATTACAAACTAAATAAGTCTTCTAACACAATAAACTTCACCAAATTCCTTTCTGTTCGTTAGCAGCGTGATGTAAGCGTGACACGCTGCAAACGCGAATGCCAATTGCGAACAAGAAGAACAAAATCGATAACAAATCAGAATTCATCGTATAGTGACGTAAGCATGAGACGTTGTGGTGGGGCAAACAAAGAAAGGGACAAGAGAACAAAAACAATACTTTCAATATCCTTCTAAGACCTCTTTGGGAAGTGCATATTACGCCTCAAAAAAACATCCTCATGCCTACATTTCTAAAACATCCCAAAACATCCCAGGAATACCTCTCAGTAGGCAAACAAAGAAATGCCACAGAAGAACAAAAACCATACTTCAATATCCTTCAAAGACCTCTTTGGTCAGTGCATATTACGTCTCAAAATAACATCTTCATGTTACACCGTATATAAGTTGGCGATCTGGCTCTATTTTATAGATATTTTCATGGACGATACTCTTCTGAAATATCAACAATTGTTCCTCCCTTGGCAGTCCTCGCGAGATTAACCCGTCGAGTTGAGGCTTCGCACCCCTTCGTGGTCACTTTGGAGACCTGCAGAACATCTATTTCCTAAGACTCGTTCATCCAACGAACAGCGAGGCTCTGGAACACATTGCCAAGGAAGGTGTTCCCCGAGGCATATAACCTCCAGAAATTCAAGAAGAACACCAATTCCTACCCTATTTCCCTTGGTTTTCACGATTTTCTCTGAACATTACAGGATACCCCTTTTCGTGGGA